TGTCTTTGCTATTAGTATATGAGAATTTCTGTTTGAGCAGCCTAGGTTCCACTTTGAACTCACCCATCTGGCCCTGAAAGCTCACAAATAATTTTACCTCTGACTTTCATTTAAATCTACTCAATAACACATAGATCTTCACAATCCACTTCCACTCATAAAGTACAAGAAAGGCAGTCAGGGTGCCCAAAGGTTCACCGTCTGGAATCAAGGCCAATACATGCCAATATACCAAAATGCTGATATGCTAATCTAATCGAATCCTGTGTGGGTGTTTGAGCTGGCTAGACTGGAGGAAGAACAAGGATGCAACCATTCCCCTGCATCCACATAACCCAATCCCACCCCTTTCACTACACTGAAGGGCAAAGCTCATTAGGGCTCTAAATAGCACAGCAGATTCTGCAGTGCATCTTCACCCTCCAGGGCACAGAAGGCGACTGGGATGTGATGGCTATGACTGAACAGGGATTCTATTAGTAGATGATTCCTCCAATTGGAGGCAGTGTCCAGGACAGCGCTGTATTCCTACTGAAGGGGAAGATTCATAGTCTGTGGGTGCCTATGTGAACCCACGCAAGGGCATTGCACCCACAATAGGACTAGGACCTTCTATTTATACACATGGCACAATTATTTGTTCCATTTATAAGAGACATTTTCATGCTGTTTAACGGAATAGAAGTGCCTCAAATATATGCATTTTTGCTATGTGCTGTGAAGTCATCTCTGATGTTACGGCGACCCACTGAGTTAATGCCTTCTAAAATGTCCTGCCTTTTACAGCCCTGCTCAGCTCTTATAAACTTAAAGCTGTGGCTTCCTGTTTGGAGTCAATCCATCTCATATTTGGATGTATATTGACATGTGCTCTAGAAACACAGTAGACTAGATAAATAATTCTCTGGAAAATTAAAGATACTTATCATTTTTTTAAACTATAGAGTGGAAAGACAAAACATCATTTGCATGCATGGAAATAATTTTTACATTACCATTTGCTGTTTGGATTGAGCATAATTGTAGGAGAAATAGCTTTGATACATTCTACAGAAATTCCTTTGTCAACATTTTAGTGTAATCGCTTTTGTAATCATATTATCTTGCATGCCTATATGCAATATTAAGAAAGAGATAAAGGGATTAAGAGATTGGAAGGAATAATGAAAAGCAATAGGCATGAAATTAGGAAAATATTGAGTACTGTGCACAATTATTTAAGAACTTAGAAGCTATGTATAGGCTTTCTTTGAAAATTCTCCCCTACTATTTTCATCATGTTCTTAACACTAAGAAGTTAATGGATTTCACTACTTGTATTATTTTAACTAGATAAAATCTGATTTCACCATCCTGGTATTCTCTCAGATGTGTTGGATTACAACTGGTATGCAGGCTCCAATGTTGTAGTCTAGCACATCTGGAAGGCACCAAGTTGGATTAATTATAAAGATGTTATCATAAAATTATAGCAATTAAGCAGTACTTCTTCCAGATTTCTCTGTACCAATAAATGTTCATGTTTCCAGGGAGCAGGTTTTTTAAAAAGTGCAATTGAGAACTGAACTTTCAGAATGTGCTGGTCTACTTCTTTTCTTCGGAGCAAGTGTTCCACCTGCCTAACGCTAAGCTGAAAGCTTATGGTTGCAACCTGGAATCTCACTGAACTTAATGAGACTTCTGAGAATTCAAATGATTGTATTGTCTATTGTATCAGTGCTTAATCCAGTTTCAAAACTCCATCAGTTAGCTAAAATGGAGTTAACTAATCTTCAATTTGTTTGCTTAGATCCATTTTTATTTCATTCCCCAGACACAATTTTTCTGTTCAAAAAGGTGGGATATAAATATAAAATCTCAGCAAACCATTAAGGAAGCACACTGCTGCCACCTAAAGTTCAAAACAAGTAGTGCTTCCCCTGAGAAGTAACTATTTTTTTAATGTATAGCTAAATTTTATATGAAGATGCTATTTTTACAAAGTGCAGCTTCATGGGGAATAGTGGACTATTTGAAGGAGAAAAGGGGTGGGGGTAACATAATCCTTCTAGTGCCTGCATCTTGAACCCTACAAGGAAAAAGCAAAACAAAAACAGATTGAAAATTGAGACGTTTTAGCAGTGGAAAGACTTAACCCTTTTCTCAACTGTAAATTGCCCTTTTCCAAAAATGCTTTTCTTTCAAAGCATATGCTGAGTTTAGTTATATGCATCTGCACTGACAGTTTAGTCAGATCCTTAGTTTCAGGAAACAATAGTCAAATAAGGAATTAATCTTTTCTGTCTTACTTCTGTCATTTCACATCTTCATCTAAGTAAGTTTCACCTCATCAAAAATTATGATGTACTAAAATTTAGTCTCAAACCTTGCAATGACATTAGTTTTTGCACTACTGACCAAAATGAAGTAAAGATTAGTTCTGTATAATTTCAAATAAAACTGTTTTTTTAACTATTAGATGCTTCAGTTGAATTATTTGTCTTACAGTAACATGAAGCTCATTGGCTTAGTGGAGTTTGGACTACCACTAACTTCTCATAGGATTGCTGTGATGATAAAATGGGGTAGTGCAATGGGGCTACATACACTGCCTTCAGCTCTTTAAAGGAATATACAAATGTAATAAACAAGAGTAAAATGAGGCTCTACTCCAAATTCTGTTGTATAACATGACTAAGATTGTCTCCATTAAGAGGAGCAACATTCTTTGCTGCCCACTGCAGTGCAGCTCCCTTCCAAAGGATATTTTATTGCATGTGTGTGCAACACAGGGCTTTCTGCAGAAACCTGAACACTCATTCCAGTTTGTCTTTGAAAACTGAAGTAAGCCACTATGTCCCAATGGTTTAAAACTTAAATTTGGTCCAATTTTAAGGTATTTTATGGCTGCAATTTTGTAAATGGCTATTTTAACAAACAAAAAATTCTAACCTAACTTGTTCTAAGCATCATGGATACCTGTCCACTTAATTTTCAGACCGTGCCATTTTCCATTAATGTTCATGCCATAATAGTGACTAATACTTTTGTCTTCTTCACAGTACCTTGCGTTAGTGTGCCCACTCTCCCTGGCAGAACTGCTCCAGTTCTTGACTGTGGACAGAAACAAATTTTCCTTTAGAATTGCCCTGCACTTGGCTCCACCCATCTTGCTGTTGGTGTTTCCCAGTAATGGGCAAGGAAAAGCATCCCCACAGCATGCTGCCGCCACCACGCTTCACTTTGGGGATGAGGTTCTCTAGCTCTATTGATTTTGCACCACACCAAGAAGTTTACTACTAGGCCAAAATGTTGCTTTGGTCTCAGAAGACCAGAGAACACTTTTCCACATTTGCTGCATTTCCTAGATGCCTTTTTGTGAACTCTGGACAGGGTTTGAACTGGGTTTCTTTTGGCACTGGCTCTCTTCACTACTCCATAAAGTCTAGCTTTTCAATGTGTAGATGAGTTGCCCTATGTGGACAGTTTCTCCTATCTGAGCTGCAGATCTCCCTGGCTGCTCGAGTTACCACGGGCTTCTTGGTTGCTTCTCAGTAATACACTCCTTGCCCAGTTACTGAGTTTTAATAGGCTGCTTTTCTGGGCAGAGTTGCAGTTAAGCCATATTCTTCAATTTTGTATAATAGATTTAATGAAGATCTAAGGAATGTTCATTGTCTTGTTTTTCAATATGCCAATTTGATGTCTATCCCAAACTAGTCGGAATCATTCCTTGATATTCATGATATGATTGTTAGATAGTTCAGTTAGATAGGCTGACAAACACTGGGGCTTTTCAGGAGGAGGTATTAATCTAAGATCACATGTCACTGGAATTGTACACAGGTGGACTCTACACATGTATTTACAGTAACTGATAAACTGGAAATGGTGGGACACTCCAGAACATATCTGGGCATGTCGTATCAGAAGGGGAGGTGAATGATCATGCAACCAGCAAATACCAGTTTTGTATCGTAAAATCTTGCATCTTCATAATTATGAACTTCTACATCCTGTGTAGTGGTAACAATGCCAATTAATCCATTTCAATTCCACATCATAACACAAACTCTGGAAAAGTCAAGGAGAGCACTTATACTAATAACTTAAGTCCAATTTTGATGTTAACCAGCACTTGCAACTGCTTCTTTGGGTCTGGCACTTCAAGTATTTTATATGTGAGAGGAGGAATCATGCAAATCATTCTAACTGTATGATTTCTTCCATTATGTTGTTCCACTCCCAAGGAATAACATTAAAGAACTTTTAATTAAATGTTATTTTTAACATTAAAGACTTTTTTCTTTCAGGGGTACAGCATGCAACCAACACACAAAAGGAATCAATTTCAATTCATCTTCAGTAACATAAATTGGTACTATTTGCTTTCAGTTTCAGAGTTTATTAATATGCACATTTTAATCAGCTAATTATTTAACTTGTTCAATGCCCCAGAAAAAGTACTGAAAATGCATATTCATTTAGTAACTCCTAAGCATTAAAAATGAATCACACCAATATTTTATACAGCAAGAATTTAATGTCAAAATGTCTGCATCCAGGTATTGAATTAAACACATGATATGAACATTAAAAACATGACAACAAGTAACAACAACAGTAAATTTAACAAATAGAGCATAACATAAACAGTGGATAAATTAACACAAAATATGTGTTAATAAAGCAAATATTTATCATGCAACTAAAATATGCAAAGAGATTTACAAGGATCACAATAGTATATAAGTTATTTATTTGGAGTTGAATTTGGAGTGAGCTTGGGTTTCTTTAAAAAAAATACCAGACAAGCATTCATAAAATACTATGCCAGATTCTTGCCAAGTGGAAATACGTTAGGAGCTTTATCTCTGCACAAAGTCAGTAAACATATGAGCAATCTGTAAAATATATATATTCAGCTCACCAAAACCAATTGTGTGGACCCGATTAAGACTAAAACGACATTATAATTTTAAAATAAATGTATACTATTTTCATTCAACTTTTTCTTTTGCTCAAAAAAATGAAGCCTGATTGGGGATATACAGACGCTGTCCAACATGGTTGCTGTTAGCAAGTGGAATCGATGGCGACAAGGGGTAGCTTGGGTAAGAATAGGGTCTTGATGTGTAAGATAGCACACTGGTAGTTCCAGAAGAAAGAGTAGCACTAATGGGGGAAATATTATTTACTGAACTTCGGCGGAAATTGTAGTCTGTTAAAAAAAAAATTACATGATAATTAGTTTGCACATGTGTGTAAAGAATGCACTTAATTTAGCAACAAAAATTGGTCAGCACACTATCTTCTGCGAATGGAAACTAGGTAATGAGGAATTTATGCTGCATATATCTAGCCTACTCATTCTTTGGTCCAAACACTTGCTACTGTAGATACTGGATATCAACACAATATTCCATGCAGTATCCAATAGCTTTTTTCCTTTTTAATGAAAAGTTGCTTCAGAAGTGGATATAAAATGGAAAAGATGAACACTTGCTTCCAAATATCTTGCAACTTTTCCTCTTAAAATGCATACAATAAAGATTAGAATGGAAATGCAAGAAAATACCAAGCACTGCCATCTATACTATTTATCTGCTATAAATTGCCTCCTTTTAATGTAACTTTTTTCTAAAAAGACACAAGTGTTTCATTGGGTATATTTAGTCAGACCCTCCTTAAATAATTTAGTAAAGTGTTTTTTTTTCCTTTACAGTTTTCAGCTACATCTTTAAATTTGCAGAAGCTTATCAAATTTATGTCACTGCCACAAGGAAATAAATGGTTTCTTAAACTTTTAAGCTTTTTTAAATCTTTGCCTTTAAGACTTGATGTACAAGTTAGAGACAAATGAATCTTCAAGAAAAGGAAAGTGGCAGTATTTATTAATTCCATCACTTAGCTAATATTTAGACAACACACTGTGTGTAAACCTGTCACTCTTAGAAAGCTATAGATTATCGCTACTGAGTAAATACTTGAATAACTACTTTAGCTTTAAAAAGGAGAGTTCAAAATACATTTATATTTTAATCTTTAACCTTTATCTTTACTGTTTAGTACAAAATTAAAGCTTATAATTGAACAATATAAATTCATAATTTCTCCAATGCTCAGGCATGCTTTCCAAGATAATGCAGTCCATATAAAACACATTCTTTTCTTTTTAAAAAACTATAAAAGGAATAGGATAATGCCTCCCTCCTACCTTCAGCCATCAGTGTACATTACAGCTGAGCTGGCATAATTGAATACCGGTGAATAAAATTAAGCACTTAACTGGCATAAAATCACTCTAATGTATACTAATGAATCAAAAGTTTTGCAAGTATAAAAAGTATGATGCATATATAACCATCTACCCAAAAAGGAGATAAAGATAACTCCAGGCAACATCAGAATATTGTGTCCATGAAATTTGGATGTTAGAATAAACATGTTAATTTTTCAAGATGCCATAAAGGTCTCAAGTTTTTGTTACAACAGACTAACAAAGATCTCTCTCCAAAATTAAACACAAAAGTTACTTGAAAAAGCATTTTTAGAAATCATTTAATTTGCATTTCTCTCCACAACCATGGTAAAGCAGATTATATGCATTCAAACTAGCTGAAATTAGTTTTTCAACATATATTTTCAGCTGAATAAATTAGAACACAGGCTTTGTTACTATTCTTGTAATTTTCTACCTATATAAATAGCAATAAGATGCTTGGTTATATGCACTAATATATCAAAGTCTCATTCAAACCTAAAAATAGAACATGAAACAAAAGAGAGGACTTGGAGATAAGTTTAAAATTGCATTCACAGGACATGACAAAAAGCACAATAATAAAATCTACAACAATTAACCTAAACTTAAATAGAAAACCAAAGAAATCAAAATAAAACAAACTCAAGAAAACAGACATAAAAAAGATTACAAATAATTTGGCAGAGCAAAAAGGCTAGCAAGCAGATAATACAAGAATTTTGTTACAAGGTACAGAAAGAATACACACAAATGAGAAATAAATGTCAAGATCAGTGTTTTCATAAGAAAAGCACTTCATCAAATGAGAGACCAAGGAGGAAAAAAAAAACCAAAAATAGGTAAAAGCAAGTCCACGCACGTGTGTAATGTATAAGTTTAAAAACAGTGCGCAGCACAAGGTTTCCCAACCTTTCTGGGTCTGCGGGCACATTCAGAATTTGAGTAATTGCTCTAAGGCACTACCTCAAATCGATAGAACACTGCTTTAGTGTCTACCAGTCCTATCAGTGAATCTTAGACTGCATCTTAATTATCCCTACAAGATACATCTTTTCTTTAATAAGGCACCTTCCAATTCAGCTACTTGCTGATGGTGCAACACAACTAATACTTCTTTTTAACCTTTTTTTTGGCCATGTCCAGGAGTTGCTTCTGTTTAGAAGCAATGTATTTAATATTCATTGATTTACAGACTGTTATATTTGCTTTATATATATTAATAAATGGAAGTAAAAATGGATTCTCAGCAACCATTTGACACCTAAAAGCCTGATATTACAAAACTGGAAACACTCACCTTCTCTGAAGCAATGGATTTAGAACCTTATACTTTCAATATATGAACAACTGGCAGATTGAAGCCTATGTGTAATTCCTGGAAAGCTGTATTCATTTCATACCAGTCCAGGTATATTGAAAAAGCAGAAACTTTTCAGGAGCACACAGTCTCCTTTTGCAGGTGCTGTAGGTGCCATTCTGAGAACTCTTGGTATATATAGCATGATTAATGGAAAACAAAGAGACTGAGCAGAATTGAGAAGAGATAAGCTGGCAGGCAAACAGAGCAAAATTAAGTATACTCATTTGCAAAACAAGAGTTCTTCATGCTTAAATAATACTATCTAAATTTAAATTGAGTATTTTAAAAATCATCATTGTCCTGTATTTATGGCAAACGTATGCATGGCATCTGAAAACAGTTTGGGCGGGGGGCAGAGAAAGGAAACAGCAGGTAGTATCTTACACTGCCACTGCACATTCATTATATCTACTGCACTAGAAAAATGGACCAGTTACACACAGGAACTAGTAGTTCCTGAAATAGTGAAAATGAATGGAAATATCCTTATTCTTACAAGAGAGTGTTAGACTTACTATTCTGTGATCGAACCCTGAAATTACATGCAACATTCATTCATAGTCAAAGTGACACAATCAGAGCACAGGTTACTATTTTTCTGCAAATGTCAATTTCATTCCCAAGGAAATACAAGGTATTTAAACTAATCATGAATTTGACCCATTTTTACTTCAGTTAAATTACTTACCTGTTTACTTTCGCCAAACTTTTCTACACAGGTCCAAGCTGGTAAGGTTATGTACCCTTTCTGCAAGCAGTGAAGACAGAACGTAACAATCTTCAAGGTGAGTTTAACCCCAGTAAAATGTATAGAATTCTGGGACTGACTTTCCTATTCCATATGCATTTCAGCTTCTTATGTGATTGTGTTAAGAGTACATGCACATACCTAAATTATTATTAAAAATACCAAATCATGCTGTGCCGGCATATAGCTTTGGAAAAAGGATATCCTCAGCTTTATTAGCAACTATTACAAAAACTCATTGTATAATATTACCTTGCGCTGGCACTACAAAATATACCTGCACAAATACACAACCTTAGACTGGAAGAATGTAGTGTTATTGCAGTACTAATCTCAGTAATATGTACAAAGTAGAAATGAAAATACAATCACCAGAGATACTGAATACTGCATCTTTAAATAGAATCCCCCACAAACCAGGATCACAGAAGAAAACTGCTCTTGAAATATGAAATATTTACAAAGTAAACAGAAGTCAGTGGCCCAGTTTTTTCCCTTTTTGGAGGGGTTGAAAAACTAATTGAAATTATCAGGGATTTGCAAAATGATTTAAGGGCACAATCTGATGCTCTGCTGCCCATAACCATTCAAACTCTGAGGATTATGAGCATCCTATACATGCAGTAGGAGCATAGAGGAAAAGAGATTGCAGATTTTGACTGAGAAGATAGGAAGGAGTATGAGGACAATTTGTATGCTGGCAGAGCCTGTCTCATCCCCATCCCTCAAAGCCTATCTCCAAGGAAGCACCTGAAGCCACAGCTGCTATGGTTCTTTCTGCTTTGATAGTAGAAATGAGGGCACTCTAACGCTGGGCTGGACCTCTGAAAAAAGTTTTAGAGCAATTTCTGAGGTTGAACCTGGACTTCTGAAAAATCCTATAACCATCTAGACTCTGCCTATTAACCAAAAGATTGCAATGCCCAGGTCTTGGCAAGTCAACACAGTACCCAGAAAGTACTGAAATTTTGATAAAGACAATTTAAACTAAACACCAAGTTATTTATCTGATGTTTCTTCCATCTGCTGGTTTTACAACCAGGACATAAATGTGGAAAGAGAGAGCCATCTAAAAATCAGGTACCAGCAATCCCTATTGTAAGTGAATAAACAAGCAAATGCTTTTTTCCCAGAACAGGTCAGGACAGCTAGGCTCCGTTTTAGCTCTGCTGAGCTGCCCTGCTTCAGAAAGGAGCATTATCATTCATTTCAGGTGTTTCACTCGACTGTTAGTTCCCATTATACTAGGAGTCCTTTCTGTTGCCAGTATCCTACTCGACCCCCCACCCTCATGCTTAGTGTGCACTGAAGCAGACATTATCAACTTAAATTCCAGCATTGTGCAAACAAACTTTGACTTCATGTGACAGGTCTTCACATCTTCTCCGTGTCCCCATACACAACCCCCAAATCTGCTCTGGAGGACCCCCAGTCTTCCAGAGAAAATTTGGGAGTGCATGAGGGATGCAGGGAGGAAGGAAAAAACCCTTTCTGTCAGCAGTGTCCATTCTACTGCTGTAAGGGCATGGTTAGATTCAAGCTGGGGGGGGGGGGGGGAATCAACACTTTAGTGTGAAGCGGAAGAAAAACTTAGTTTTCCAGTATCTCATATTACTCTAACAGGACTTTGTACTTCCATTTAAGTGCTTAAACTATGCAAGAACTATGTGAAACGGGCTCATAATCATAAGAGCAGACCAGTGCATGTGACTTTGTTTCCTAGGAGAAATACTATTGCTACCTATTCCTCAGAATAACATGCCAATCTCTGAATGTATTTTAAACATGCAAAGGTTAAAATGCAAAATAATTATTGTAAATTTGACAGGATTTACTCAACATTCGTCA